GGGGAAGGGATAGGAAAGAAGGGAAAAGTAAAAAAATGAGAAAAGCAGGAAAACATGCAAACAAAGCTTTTGTAAATGGGGAGAGGAGGAGGGGTTGAAGGGAGGGTAGGGGAATGGGGAAAAAAAGAATCAAGTTATATCACGTACAGACACAAATTCTCTATGATGAGTGTGATCATTACATATATCTGAAATGTACCAATAAAATTGATTTTTAAAAAATTCAATCTGCAATTCTGCGAGCCGTGGTCATGGGGTGAAGCCTCCTGTTCTGCTGTCAGGGCGCTGTAATCCAATTAAACACTGACATGGTGGGTGCAGGGGAGACCCCTGGGGCTTCCGCCTCTCCTCTCGGTATTCTCCTCTGCAGCCTGCGCGGGCAGACTGTCCCCGCTCCCAGAGCCCAGCTCCACCGGTACCTGTACAAGCCCGTGGCTGCTCCCTGGGCCAGGAGCCAGCGCACACCCAGCCTAAGGTTCTTGTCTTCATCCAGCACGTCTCTCAGGCTTCCGCGCTCGCAGTACTCCGAGACCAGGCAGAATCGAGGCGCACTTCCTGCTGGAGAGGAAGCAGCCCCACTCGAGCTCCTGCCACCCGTGGGTGTGGACTCGGTGGTGTATCACTGCTGCCCATCCTCCACTCCCACCTCACACAGGTGCTACTCCCTGGCCGCCTTGAGCTGGTCCAACACATCCGGAATTCCCATCTCTTCTTTGTGGTATTTATTTATGTTTTTTGTTTTGTTTCGTTTTTTCTTCCGGTACCAGAAATCGAACTCACAACCTTGCGCTTGCCAGGCAGGTGTTGTGCCGCTAAGCTAAATCCCCAGCCCCTTGTTTTATTTTCTGATTTTGAGGCTGGCCTGGACCTCACTATGTAGCCCAGACTGGCCTCTCTTCCCGCCTCAGCCTTCCGAATGCTGGGATTATAGTAGGCGCCACTGCAACCAGCCTGGCACGGCAAGATTGTACCCGTGTTGGAGTATTTATCTGAATCATGTCTTCCTCTCGGCTGTAAGCCTCAAAAAGGCTGGAAATGTGTGATTTGTTTGCAGGATGCTTACAAGAATTTAGTGCACACGTGTGGAAGGAATTCTGGGAGGGAAGCTCAGACAGGGGCCACGTTCTCAGGGTACAGTCTTGAGACACAAGAACCAACACACCAAGGTGAGTTGGCTACCTCCGCGGTCACCCGGGAGAATAAGTTTCCTCTAGACTGGGATCCTATGCTGTAAAGTCAGATTGGCCAGGGCTGCAGAGAAAGTTCCAGAGGGGATAACACAAGAACTTTTCTATCCTCTCTCTAGGCAACAGCAGCCAAACATGGACAGCAGGAGAGGCCATGCTATGAGGGCATTATGACTGCGTCTGGATGTCTCCCGAAGGCTCATGCAGTCATAGGTGGGGCTGTTTCAGAGGTGGCTGGATCTAGAGTGCGTGACACTGGAATGGATTCATGGTGCAACGCTAGGATCAAGGGCGCTAGGATTAAGGGTGTGAGTGCTACCCCTGCTGAGTAGCCTGGAGAAGATAAAAGGGGCAGAACGATTCTGATAAGGTCCCTTTGTTGCTTTTGCTATGTTGTGGGCGCCATGGACTGTTTCTCCTTTGCGATGCCCCTCTGCTGCGCCACCCTGCCTTGGAGCCAGCTGGTTATGGACTGAACCCTCTACAACCTGTGAGTCAAATAAACCTTTCCTCCTTTTGCTTTGGGTGTTGGGTATTTTGTCTCAGCAATGAGAAAAGTGACTAAGTCGGAGAGAAAACCCAGCCACATCAAAAAATAAAGCTGGGCATGGTGGCACATGACTGTGACTCCAGCACTCAGGAGGCTGAGGATTGCCAGTTTGAGAGCAGCCTGGGCTACATCATGAAACTCCATCTCAAAAAAACAAATAGAAGTAATAAATAAAGGAAGATAAAGAACCAATCCATGAAGTTCCTGATAAAAGGGCAGGCAATCGATTTTTTAGATGATCAGGGTGGATTCCCTGTTTGGGTCAGGCAACTTTATATTATTTTACAGCAACAAATGTGCCCATCATCCAGGCCAGCATAGTAACAACCACGCCTGGGGTCCCACGGGACTGGCAGAAGGAGACATGGCTACATTTGTGCCCACTAACCCTTGGTCCAAAGCCCTGCTTTCCTGAAAGACTGGAACTTGTATACTGAGATAAAAATTTTTTTCACTCTGATAATAACCGCAGTGCATGCTGAGCATGGTCCCGAACACCTGTAATCCCAGCACTTGAGAGGCTGAGGCAGGAGGATTGCTGTCAATCTGAGTCCAGCCTGGGTTATATAGTGAGTTCGAGATCAGCCTCAACTACATAGCAAGATGCTGTCTCAAAAACAAAACAAAGCAAAGCAAAAGAAAACAAAGAGAAACAGATCTACACAATGCAGATCATGCCCTTTTAGCTGTCCCTAAAAAATACAACACATTAAAACACGGGAGGTAAGGGACTGGGGATTTAGCTCAGTGGCACAGCGCCTGCGTAGAAGTATAAGGTCCTGACCCAGTACATCCCCCGAAAAAAACACTGAAGCAATCCAGGCCATTCCAAGCTTGACCAACCCCAGAAGCCCCCTTACCTCTTTCCATAATGCAAATCCCAAATATACGCAGGATACTGGGGGAATCAAACGTCCGCATGTCGCTGATCTCCTTGCGGAAATGCTCTCTCACTATTCTAGGAGGGGAAGAGTAGGGGAAGAGTTTCGCTCAGAAACAGGAGTCCCTGAGGAAGGGTAAGCAGTGCGCATGGGGGGGGTGAGGTGCCAGCCACCTCCCTGGTGTGACGCGTGAACTGGTCTGTGGTGGCATCAGATGGGGCTCCTCAGCAGAGCATGCAACAGAGTTAGTCCCCAAGTGTCTGTGAAGACTAGTGTGGCCTGCTAATCTCTTTTTGGTATTTTACACAGTCTGATAAAATTGCATGAATTTGTTGATTTATTTTGTTTTTTGAGACAGGCTGGTGCTAGATAGCACAGGCCAGCCTTGAACTCTCGATCCTCCTGCCTTGGCTTCCCAAGTGCTGGGATCAGAGGCATGTGCCACCATGCCTGGCTAAAACTGTATTTTATGACCTATAAGCCTTTATAGTAGGCAAACCCCCCAATCATGTTTTTGTTACGGTGTGGTTTGGTGTATGGTCTGATAGATCCAGGGGTGTGTCTTTGATTGGCAAAAACAAAGAAATTCAGGTTTTGTTTTGTTTTATTGAGACAGGGTCTCACTGTGTGGATCAGGCTGGCCTTAAACTCACTATGTAGCCTATGCTGGCCTTGAACTAATAGTGATCGTCCTGCCTCAGCCTCCTGAGTGCTATGATTAAAGGTTTGGGCCACTGTGTCTAGTGGTATTATTTCTTAAGAGAAACTTTTATTATTATAATCTTTGATTTTTTTTTTTTTGAGGCAGGGTCTTGCTATATAGTTCAAGTTGGCCTTGAACTCTGAACCCACTATGTAGCAGAGGCTGGCCTCAAACTCATAGCGATTCCACTGCCTCAGACTCCCAAATGATTAAGAAAAATTACATAAACAAAGTCTTCTGAGACCATGGCCTTCAGGAATGTTTGCAGGTAAATTACTGAACAGACTCACTGGAACCACCAGCTCAATTGTCTCAGTCACACTGAGTGTGATACTCAAAGAGAAAGGGCTCAGCTATCTGATCTTTGAGAAAAGGTCCAAAAACACACAGTAGAGGAAAGGCAGATGGTGCTGGGAGCACTGGTTATCCACATGCGGAGAAATGAATCTAGAACTGTATCTCTCACACTGGACTAAAATAAAATCAAAATGGATCAAAGACTTAGATATAAAATTAGAAACCCTGAACCTGCTAGAAGATAAAATAGGTAAAACTCTTGAAGACTCAGGCATAGGTAAAGACTTTGTGGACAGAACCCCAATGGCACAAGAACTAGCACTGAGCATCAACAAATGGGATCATCTCAAATAAGAAAGCTTTTCCACAGCAAAGAAAAGAACCAATAGAGTTAAGAGACAAACTACAGGATGGGAAAAATTTTTGCTAGCTGCTCATCAGACAGAGGACTAGTATCTAGAATATATAAAGAACTCAACAAGATTAGAAACCTCCCAAATAAAAGACCCAATCAAAAAATGGGCAGTTGAAATGAATAGACAATTCTCAGAATAAGAATCACAAATGGCCAACAAATACATTTTAAAAATGTTCAGCATTGCCGGCCATTAGAGAAATGCAAATTAAAACAACATTCAGACACTAGTCTACCCCAGAAAGAATGGCTATCATCAAGAACTCAAAAAAAAAGCCAGGCGTGGTGGCACACACATGTAATCCCAGCACCTCAGGAGGCTGAGGCAGGAGGACTGCTGCAAGTTCAAGGCCAGCCTGGGCTACAAAGTGAGTTCAAGGCCAGCCTGAACTGAATAGTGAAACCCAGTCTCAAAAACACAAACAAAACAAAAAAAACCCCTGCTGGTGAAGTTGTGGGGAAAAGGTGCCCTTCTACATTGTTGGTGGGAATGTAAACTAGTGTAACCACTGTAGAAGTTTATATGGAGATTCCTCAAAAAACAAAATTCCAGGGGCTGGGGATTTAGCTCAGCGGCAAAAGCGCCTGCCTGGCAAGTGCAAGGTCATGAGTTTGGTTCCTGGTACCGGAGAAAAACCAAAAAAAAAAAAAACAAAAAACCAAAAATACCCAAAATTCCATTTGACTCAGTTATTCCCCTTCTAGGTATCTTCTTGAAAGAGTTAAAGACATCATATTACAGCGATAAATGCACACCCATGTTTATAGCAGCACCACTCATAATAGCTAAATCTTGGAAGAGATTTCTATATCCATCAGCAAATGAATGGATAAAGAATATGTGGTACACTATACATAGTAGGGTACTACCCAGCCATTGTGTGATAAACTTGAGTCATCTATAGGAAAATGGGGGCATCTTGAGACCATAAATGAGGTGAAATAACAGAAGGTTACATATAGCATAGTTTCTTTTATATGGGAAACCCAAAATAGAGATAATTTAAAGAGCAAAATAAAAGATAGATGATAGGGAAACAGGCAGGTGGATTTCATGAAGAAGGGAAGGGACTATAAGGACAGGGAGATGGGAAGGCAGGGAGAGGAAGAGAAAATACAAGTGACTAAGATGTGAAATGTATATGTACCAATTCTGCAAGACAAATGTAGTTATGTATGGCAGACATACATTAATTTAAAAGAGAGAGCAGGCCCTTGTCCAAAGTCTGTCAGAGAGGGGCTGGGGATTTAGCTCAGCGGCAAAAGCGCCTGCCTGGCAAGCGCAAGGTCGTGAGTTTGGTTCCTGGTACCGGAGAAAAACAAAACAAAACAAAACAAAACAAAACAAAGTCTGTCAGAGAATCAACACAGGTCCAAAGCCTATAATAGTCAATTGTATTTCCATCTGAACAGTAAATTCAGAAAACAATTTCAGGCCAGGTATGGTGGTGCACACTTGTCATCCCAGCACTCTGGAGACTGCCAGGAGTTTGAAGCCACCCTGGGCTACACAGTGAATACCAGGGCGGCTTGAATTACATAGTAATACCCTGTTTCAAACAAACAAACAAACAAACAAACAAACAAACACATAGAAAACAGATACAGGAGCCGGGCATGGTGGTGCATGCCTGTAATCCCAGCACTCGGGAGGCTGAGACAGGAGGATCCTTGCGAGTTCGAGATAAGCCTGGGATACATAGTGAGCTCAAGGCCAGCCTGAACTGCACAGGGAGACCTTGTCTGAAAAATACAGAAAAACAAAACAAAAACCCTAAAACACATAAAGATAAAGCACTAGAACTACTGTCCATGGAGGGGCTGGGGAATTGAGAAACAGGACTGGAAGGGAACATATTTTAAAAGTTAATAAATCCATAAATAGAACAGGGAAGCTCTAGAATCGAGGTAGAAAGTTGTTTAAGCCAACCTCTGCTTATTAATAGTAGAAGACAAGTCATGTAACCCTTTGGGGCCTGGTTTCCCCATCTAAAAATGGAGACGATACATCTGCTTCCTTGGGGAGTCCCAAAGAGTAAATATTGCTACAATGCCAATCATACAAAATGCTTACCCAGTGCTTTTGACCTGGGCTTTACTGAATACTTTTATGGCCACTGGAGACCTGTGATACTCTCCCTTATAAAGTTCGCTGAATTCACTCTTCTTCAGCAGGGTCCACGGGGATCCTGATAGCTCTTCCTCCTTAATCTCCTTGATTTGCTCCTGGGCTGTCTTCTGCACAGGTCTTGGCAGGTCTGATCGCAGCCAGGGACAGAAGAAAATAAAGACTCAGTGAGTTACATGGCAGAGCTCTGGCTGAGTGTGCCTGAGGCCCCAGGTTAAATGCCCAGCATGGCAAAAAAACTCGAAAACACCAAAACAAACCAGAATCCTTCCCACGAAAATGTGTCAGAGAGGGCTGGGGATGTAGCGCAGCGGTACAAGTGCCTGCCTGGCAAGTGCCAGGTCGTGAGTTCGATTCCTGGTACCAGAAAAAAACAAAAAAAAAGAAAATGTGTCAGAGAGCTGAGGAAGATGTCTAGGCCAAGTGGTATCCTCAGGACATGAGCAGGAAGGTACGCCATGAGCCAGAGGTGGCCCTGGGGAGGGAGGGCACTTCCAAACGGAGTCACCCCAAGGTAGAAGGTCCTTTGCTTCTAAATGGCCCACAGAGAAAGAGCTGGAGAGTTAGCCCTTCCCTGCCCTCCTCCCTGACTCCTGCCTGTCTTTCAAACCTAGCTTCTTTTTGAGACAGGGTCTCGCTGCATAGTTCAGGCTGGCCTTGAACTTGCACTGATCCTCCTGCCTCAGCCTCCCAGACAGCTGAGATTACAGGCAAGACTCCTCCATGCCCAACCAGCCTTAATTTGTATCTTTCTCACCTCGAAGCTTCTCTTCCTACCGCCACACAGCTCTGCGCAGGGGGACCTGACATCCTGTCACTTCACAGCAAGCTCAGTAACTGCCCTTCAGCTGGCTGGGTTCACTTTCTCCTTCCTCTCCCCTCTGGTACCCCAGCCCCGAGCTCCCGGAATTCTCCACCTCTTAGCACGCTGGTGCCCACCTTCCTACAATATGAGCAGAGTCCCACATCTTCATTGAATGCACAGCACTTTAAATTTGATTTGAATTTCTTCTTGGACACTCAGCAAATGAGTTGAAGCTTTAATGCTGCTGCAGTTCCGATCGGGAATGTCCTCTGAAGGCCCATGTGTTACAGGCCAGCTCTGCAGTGCTCTCTGGGAGGTGGTGGGCCCTTTAAGAGGCGGGGCATAGCAGGAGGCCTTAAGGTCCCGGAGGTCATGCCCCAAGGGATTGTGAGACCTAGGGCGTTCCTCTGCTCTTTACTTCCTGCGCCTCAGCTGAGCCATTTTCCTTTGTTCCCCTTGCCGACCACAACGTGCTGTTTCAGCACGGTTGTCACAACAGCGGAGCCAACTGATCACGGAGCGAAACTTCCAAAACCACGAGCCAAAAAACCTCTCGCGTTCTAAGTCAATCATCTCTGCTATTTGTTATGGTAACCGGAAGCTGCCTCACATGAGGCTATTCATAGGGGAAGATTCTAGCACTTTTTTTTTTTTTTTTGGTACTGGGAATCGAACTCAGGACCTTGCACTTGCCAGGCAGGCGCTTGTGCCATTGGGCTATATCCCCAGCCAATTCTAGCACTTTTGACCTTTTGTTGGACAAGAAGCTCCTTTATTTATTGTTTTGTTTTTTGAGATAGGGTCTCGATATGTAGCTCAGGCTGGCCTCGAACTCACGACCATCCTGCTTCAGGCTCCCAAGTGCTGGGATTACAGGAAGAAGCTCCTGTAAATGCTGCTCTGTGGACAGACGCCTGGGCCTGCTATGAGCACACCCCAAACCTGTTTCCAGAAAGTGGGGTAGGGCAGGGTTAGGAGCCCCCGAGCTGCTGCATAGGAGGCCACTTGTGCTTCTTGAGCTGTGGGTTGCAGTGAGGCCCTTGGCAACTTACACTCCTTCAAGGTGTCCTTGATGTCTTCCATGTACTTTTCTAATCGTCTCAGTGTAGCGTCCATTGTTTTATTATCTGCAGGAAAAAAAGGACGAGTACTCAAAAAAATAGAAGTGATAATTAAGATCACATAGTAGGTAAAACAGAAATGCTAACGAAAACCACGACACCAGTTTTTACTGTCACAGTCACTGTCAGAGCCTCAAAGCAGTGCTGTGTGAATGGCTCTGGACAAGAAACAAAGAGAAAAATGTGTGTCATGGCCCAGCGGAAGCACGTCATTGATTCTGTTTAAGGTGCAACCTGGCTGCTTCGGTTTTGTTTGTTTGTTTTGTCTTTTTGAGACAGGGTCTCCATACGCAGCTCAGGCTGGCCTTGAGCTCACGTTGTAGCCCAGGCTAGGGTCTTGAACTCTCAACGATCCTCCTGCCTCAGCCTCCCAAGTGCTGGAATTACGCCCAGCTTGGTTTGTTTGTTTGTTTTGTTTTGTTTTGGAATGAGGGGTTGAATCCAGGGCCTTTGTACTGAGCTATATCCTTAGCCCTTTTATTTATTTATTTTTTTAATTTTGAGGGTCTCACTAAGCAGACAAGTTGCTCAGGCTGGGTTTGAACTTGCCATTCTCCTGCCTTAGCGTCCTAGAGTGCTGGGGTTATGGGCATGCATCACCACCACACCCAGGTTGCTTCTCGCTTTAATCTGGTTCCACTCTCTCTTCCTTGCCTGCTACATCAAAGCTGCCTGGCCTTCTGGCTCTTCCTTACACATGCCATATTTATTTCTACCTGACATGTGTTTTGCCACCTCAGGGCCTTTGCATTTGGATGTTTCCTTTGCCCACACAGCTCTTCCTCCTCATCTATGTATGCCAGCTCCCTCTCCTCATTCAGGAAACCCATTCAGATGTCACCCTATCACCAGACTACTCTTTCTGTACCATGGTCACATGGCCTCTCATCACCCTACTTTAAGGTTTTCATTGTCTGCAGATAAAACAATTTGGTCAGCTATTAGCAAATTTTACATTCCACGAGAGGAGAGCTTTCTATTTTGCTCTGTGCTGTATCCTTAACATTTAGAATAGTGCTGGATACACTGTACTCAGTTTAGTTTGCCTAGTAGTAGGTTACTTACTTCGTCTTCCTGGACAATTTACATCTTAACTGAGAGTCTTGAAGAAGCTAAACCCGGAAGGAGCAAATTTCTAGAATTCACAGTAATACATCAAAGAGAGAATGGGTGCCAGGCCTGGTGGTACACAGCAGTAATCCCAGTATTCTAGAGTGCTAAGGCAGGAGGATCACAAGTTTCAGTCCAGCCTGGGCAAGTTGGTGACTTATGGTGACTTAGCAAGAACCTGTCTCAAAAAAGTGAAAAAGATTTGGGATGCAGCTTAGGGTAAAAGCCCTGGATTCAACCTCCAGTCCCAGAAAGAGGGAAGGGGAGAGCGAGCTCCTCCACATTGGCTTTCCAGCCCTTTCACCACCATATCTGGCCTCAGAGGTGTTAGGATTTTTGAGCCACATGTTGCACATCTGTAATGCCAGCACTCAGGCTGAGGCAAGAAGATCATCGTTAGTTCCAAGCCAGCCTGGGCTACAGAGCGAGTTCCAGGCCAGCCTGAACTACAGAGCGGAAACCCTGTCTCAAAAAGACAAACAAAACAAATACACAATAAAAAAGAGCCCAGAACAAAACAAAACAAAACAAAACACCCCAGTTACTCAAACTTCTTCATCTTTCCTGCTCCTCTGGGGAAATCAAAGTGAGACTAAAAGACTAAAACATCCCCTTACATTGCACCCCCCCCCAAAGAAAACCCCTAACTCACCCCTGCTCAGGCTTTGCAAAGCCTGAAGTTGTCTGTCTTTGTCTGCATCACTCTGATCTTCCTGTGCCCAGGATTCTCCTCGGCTGGTGCTTGCACTGTACTGAGCAATCTGAAGCTGCAGCATTAACAGCTCCCAGACGTCTTCCAGCTTCTGGTTGACTTCCTTGAAGAGTATCTTGTCGCCATCTGCCACTGCAAACTTCCTGATATTGGACTGAGTGTTGTAGTTTTCCAACTCATCCATAGCCTTCTTCAGGGCATTTTCGAAATCATTCAGGGCAGCAGTTATCTCAGGGGACAGATACTTCATCCCTTTGTCCCCAAGTGACTGCAGAGCCTGGTGGAGCCCACTCACGCGTTCCTGCAGACGCAGGCTTTGATTCTGGCAGTATTTCATCTTTTTGCACTGCTCCCGCATTTTCTGGACTATGGAGAAGATCTTCCCCAAATAATCCATACCTGGAAGAAGTGGATGGAATTTGTTGAAGTCTTCAATCTCAGGCATATTTGTGATTTGGCTAAGGGAGACTTGGGGGTACCTGTGACTTTAATATCGGGAGGTCTCCCAGCATTTTCATTTAAGGTGGGGAAGGTTTGCTGCCCACCAAAATCAGTTCAGCCCTTCTATAACAGAGTTGGATCTGGGGCTTGTGGGTCCAGGTAGAATCACAACTCCCAGCCTTCCTTGAGGCACCATGTGATCATGTGACTAATTCCCACCAATGGGCTGTGACTGGATGTGACCTGTGCTATTTTGGGCTAAGGCAAGTTTCTGTCCTCTATATAGTATTCTTGTCTCCCTCTGCCAATGGGATGCACGGGATGATGTGGCCTTGGAGGAGAGCTGCCCACAGACCTGGAACATCTACAGGTCTGTAAAGAGATTGAGAATAAGTTTCTATTACATATGAGCCATTATCTTCTGGGGTCTACTTGTTACATCAGGTTAGCCTATCCTGATAAATATATCTTACTGAGTATGAGGTTACCTTTAAGAGCCAGGGAGGCAACTCAAACGAGTGCAGTGAGCTGAGCTAGGAATCATCCCAGTTGCTACAAAGAAATACGTACGCGTCCTCCCTTTCCTTGAAACAGGAACTTTCTAGTCCAGCTTTCCATTTCCCCCCAGAACTGGGGGCTTCAACATAGAACCTTTGCATTGAGCTACATCTCCAGCCCTTCCTTTATTTTTTGAGACAGGGTCTCACTAAGTTGCCCAAGCTGGGCTTGAACTTGTGACCCTTCTGCCTCAGCTTCCCAGTGTGCTGGGATTACAGGTGCGCACCACTATGCCAGGCTTCATTTCTCCAATTTTGTTAGGAACAAGAGTACAAACACTCTCTGGAGTCCTGTAGAAAAAATGCTATGCGGTGGTAAAGGCAACTGACCCTGATCTCATCATGAGAGAAATTGTCTCAAGCTGCCTGAAGAAGGCAGGGGACCCAGCAAGTTGCCACCAGATGCTTAGCGAGGATAAAGGCCCAAATGGTGATAACCTCTTACTTTTCTAAGAGCAGCCATAAAAATCCATAAAAATCTAGTTTTTTATGTCAAATCTCTTAATTTTATACCTTACAGCCAAGTCAAAAAGTATTTTAAAAACCATGCTAGCTGGGTGTGGGGCTGCGTGCCTGTAACCCCAGCCTTTTGTAAGGTGGATGCAGGAGGACTGTAAGTTCCAGCTCAGCCAGGGCAGCTTACTGAGACTGTATCACAGTAAAAAACCAGAAAGGGCTGGGATGTAGCTCGGTGCAAAGGCCCCGGGTTCAATCCTCAGTGCTCAAACAAACAAAACCAAAAGGCCTATGCTGTCCAATACCTCATAAATCAAATAAAACATGTCTGTCAACTGGATATTACCCTTGTGTAGGGAAACCCGAAAGCACAAAATGGCGGCACTTTGGTTAAGGCGGTGAAGAGAAGGGGATCCGGGAGGAAGGGGGTTCTGTGTCAATAGAACTCCAGCACAGCTGCATCTCCTTCGTCAAGGTCAACGTTGGTCTGTGTAAATAACTTATATAAGACAGGAGAGAAGCAGCGTGTCAATGGCTCTTTCTCCGGTGACATGGCAGCCCCTAAAAACAAAATGGAGTCTGACTGGGAGAAGTACCCATGTCCTGAATGTGGGAGCTTTTCCCACTCCAAGTCCAGAAGATTGTTCAGTCAGCGTTTGCGTCATCTTCAGCAGATGCTGAGGGAGACCAGCGACCCTTAAGGCCTGAGGTACAGTGAGGCAAAGGCTGCGTCCCCACAGAAACGGCCATCTAAGGACTGCCGGGAAGTGATGTGTACGCGGAGAAATGTGGTGTCTTTGGGTTCTGTAGCTGAGAGAGTTTTATTCATTTTTTAACGCTCCCCAACCCGCACCCTACTCCCTATCCACTGCCCATTCCCCCGTGATTTTTAGAGATACATCTCATCTGATATGCTGCAGAAATACCTGCAAAACCCAGTATGGAACAAAGGCAGAAAACACCACATAGGCCTTGAAGGCAATCCCAGTTCCAGTTTCTCTAACGAGTAGGAGCCGGAATTCTGAGTGCTCAGTTCTTAGTGACTCCTCTCCCAACCCTGTGGAATTCTGGGACCTCAGCGACTTCAGTGCCCTCCCACTTCTTGACTCCTCATTCGCCCACCCTGTATCCCTCAAAAGAAATCACAGTAGGGTCTGTACCCACTCACACAACCTCCATGGGGAACAGTTTTTAAGTCAGAAGCCTACAGCAATCCATGGAGCATGGGGTGAGTGTCTTCCAAGAGTCCCCCTGAGCTCAGCCCCTGGCCTGGAAGGCCTCAGACTCTCCTGAGCCCTGCCGGAGGGCTTTGAGGACAAACTCAGCTATTGAGGATGCCTCCATCCCAAATTTGAGTTTTTACGGGATTTTAATCATTCAACTTGCTGTTGGGTTTTAATTCTCTAGTTATTGTTATTATTTTTTAGGACCGGTGGTAATGAATTGCTACTGAAAGCTATCCCAGGTGATACAGAGCTCTTGGTAAACACATCAGGGTTAGTGTTAAACGGCATTAGGTGGACCATAATGACCTCAGCTGGTTGGTTGTTCAAAGTCTACGGAAGAAATAGTTTTGTGCAAAATTAAAAAGAAAATACCAGTCTGGCCAGGAAGGTTGGGGGTTTCAATGCTATTGGGAGCCAGAAAGTTGAGAGAAGCACCAGGTGGGGAAATTGTGTACCTTGGTTGTGGCCCAGGTGAGCAAACCCGGGTTGTCCTGGTGATGTGCATGGACTGATCAGACTGTATTGAAAAATAAAAAGGGCTGGGGATGTAGCTCAGCGAGGGAGCGCCCTGCAGTAGAAGGAGGAAGAGGAAGAGGGGCTGGGAAGGAGGAGGAGAGGAAGGGAGGAGGGCGAGGAGGAGGAGGAGGGGGAGGAGGAGAGGAAGGGAAGAGGGGGAGAAGGGGGGTAGGGGGAGGAGGGGGAGGAGGGAAAACGGGGAGGGCAGGACTTGGGTGGAGGAGGAAGGGAAGGCGAGGCCACGCGCTTCTTCCCGGGCCGCGTCTGCTTCCCGGTCAGAGGGCGGGAAAAGAAACTAAGAGAAACGAAAGGAAAAACGCTGGAGCCTGCAGTTCGGCCCGGCCCCGCCCCGCACCCTCGCCCTCCGGTCCCGCGCGGCTCCGCCAGCTTCTCTGCCGGCCCGGGAGGTCGCAGGTGTCTGCTGGCCACAGGCAGTTCTTTCTTTTCCTCTGATGTGAGTCCGCGTCCACCACAGATGCGCCCGAGCAGCAAGTAGCTTCCCTCCAGTCAGCCGGTGGGACGCTGGTTCCTGCCCTGTGCCCTCCCCCCTCCCCCAGGCCACCGCCCTGAGCCTGGGACCCCCGCAGGGAAGGTGGCAGCAGCGAGGCTCCTGCTGCTAACCTCCCGGCCAGCGGTGCCCAGGCTTCCTTCTTTCTCCGGTTATGCACCCCCGGCCCTTTGCACAGCCTCCCCGCCTTGCTAGACTCCGCTGAGGGCCAGTGCTGGGGCACTCACCTGGCCAGGCTTTGTGCACGCGCTGGGCTTTGGACAGAGAGCAGGTCCGAGGGAGCGCTGGTGTCCACGATCAGTGAGACAGCCTGGAGGTGGAGAACAGTGGAAGCCCAGTGGGAGGTGCTTATGGCACCCTGGGGGTGCTGGGTAAAATAGGTGGGGCGGGCAAGTGGGGTAAACCCAGGGGAAGGATAAATCACGTTCTCTCATGTCCCTTGAGAACTCTGTGCGTCAGTCAAGTTTTATTAGGCAGTGGGGTACACAGCCATACAGACATTTTCGATTCAGCCTGTCCTGTTCCCCTAGAAGGACAGGAGTGGAGTCTGGAAAGACTGGGCTGGGAAACAGGTGTGGAGGCTGTCGGGGGTGTCTCTCTCTCTCTCTTTCTTTCTTTCTTTCTTTCTTTCTTTCTTTCTTCCTTTCTTCCTTTCTTCCTTTCTTCCTTTCTTCCTTTCTTCCTTTCTTCCTTTCTTCCTTTCTTCCTTTCTTCCTTTCTTCCTTTCTTTCTTTCTTTCTTTCTTTCTTTCTTTCTTTCTTTCTTTCTTTCTTTCTTTCTTTCCCCCTGAAATTGCTGTCCATGACTGCACGTCTGCATTCTTCTTGTCTTGGGTGCATGCGATTTATCAAAGGAAGACGCTCAGGGCAGAGTAGGAAGGGCAGGGGGATCAACGCCCAGCAACAGGATGCCGTCCAGCCCGCTGGAAACAGGTGGCCTGGCACGTGACTCGTTCATCTCCGCTGAGAAGCCGCTTCCCTTCTGCCCAGGACGGCGGTCCAGGGATGGGGTCCAGGTGCCACCTTCGCCCTCCATGCCCACGGCGGCTGCCAGGTGGGTGCATGAGCTTTGGGAGCTTGTGTTGGTGGAGTCCCACATCAAGGCCCAAGGGACCAGTTTCTCTACATCCTGATCAGTGTTTCATCTTGTCACTATTTTTGATTTTAGCTATTCTAATAGATGCTTCGTGGTGTCTCAAAATGATTTTAATTGGCATTTCCTCAGTGCCTAAAGATGTCGAATGTTTTTTTTTTTTTTGGTGCTACTTGACATCTGTATGGCCTCACTGGTGAATGTCTGGCCATGTCCTTTGCCCATTAGATATATATATGTATATGTATAAATTTTTTTTTTAACTATTGAGTTTGTGTGTGCGTGTGTGTGTGTGTGTGTGTGTGTGTGTGTGTGTGTTACTGGAGATTGAACCCAGGGTTTACACACTGAGCTAAAGAGATTGGCATTATATAAAATATCTTCTCCAATTATAATGGAATGAAACCAGAAGTCAATAAAAGAAGGAAAACTAAAACAGAAGTATGTGGAAATAAACACACTTTTTTTTTTTTTTTTTTTTGTCTTTTTGAGACAAGGTCTCTCTGTGCAGTTCAGGCTGGCCTTGAGCTCACTTTGTAGCCCAGGCTGGTCTCGAACTCCCAAGGACCCTCCTGCCTCAGTCTCCCGCGTGCTGGGATTACAGGCGTGTGCCACCATGCCTG